ACTGTATCTGAACAAAATATCAAAAAAATGTCCTCGGGTGAGGATAAAAAATATAAAAAAATAAAAAATATTTCCATGCCTCCAAGCTTCAAACCATCTAAGGGCTGCTGGCTCTCCAGGGCCCAGGTCTTGGATTCTCCCTCTCTCCTTAACCCCTGCCCAGGGTTGGGCACACAGTGGGTCAGTGAGTGGATGCCCTAAGTGCCACCTTGAGGGGAGGAACCCCCTGGCTCAGGCCTTCCTGCCCTTTGCAGGGCTTGGTTGTTTCTGCCCAGCCCAGAGGATCTGCAAAGCGCCGCCAGGCACCAGATCAGGCAGAAGCTGAAGACTGACAAATGCCTTCCTACAAAAGGGGACAGGAGAGGGGGGCCAGCTTAGCAGCTTCTCCCATGGCCTCGTGCTGCCCCTCCCCCATCATAAAACCTCCAAAGTGGGCAGCCATGTGTCCCAGGCACAGATTACATAACTTGTTGCTTCCAAATGTGGGGCCATCACACTGCTTGGGGTTATAGGTTGCTTGTCTGGTTTTTCCAAGCTGTCTCTCAGGGTTAAGTCCTGGGCTGAGGTTGTCCCATGGTATTCTCCCCTGGCTTTGGGAGCAGGGACCCTTCCTTGACCTCTGACTTGATGTCAGTTCACCCAGCTGTGACCCTTGGTGACCCTTGCTGTTCCTTTGGAGGGTGCTCTGACCAGCTCCTCGATCTCAAGTTTCATCTATTTCAGGGTCCTGGCACAGCTGGACACACCGATGGGATTGTTATTTTAGAGCTTGCTGGCAGCCTGCAGCTGCTCCTGACCCCAAGGGTGGAGGGGATGGGAGAGGAGACATGGTTGGGCTGGGCACTGGCCCCAGGGATTCCGCTTTTAGCTGTTTCCCAGCATCTCGCCACTCCTGCAATATTTCAAGCAAGGCCAACGGGGGCATTTTGCTGCCCCTTCTCCTCTCTCTCTATCCTCCACTGTGTCTCCTTCCTTCTCTCCTTTCTCCTCTAATCTCCACTTGTAGCTTCTCCTTCCTGGTTTTTAGTCAGCGATGTCATTCGGTGATTATGTCTTGGATGTCCATCATGACTGCTATGAAGTCCTACATTTAGGTTAAAAAAGTTAATTGCCCGAGTGCCAGTGGGCCAGACTTTGGTTGGCAAACTCAACCTGAGCAAATACTAGTATCTGAATTTATCAGGTACCCAGGTGCCAGTGGCTTCTATTCTACCCTGTCAACATCGAAAGGCAGATATTGTTACTCCTGTTCTCTAGGTGAGTAATCTGAGGCTGGAGGAAGGTTGCTTACCCACAGGCCACCAGACAAATGCTGGGTCAGACATTGAAACTCATGCCTGAATCACCCCAAAGCCCATGTACTTTCTTCTGAGCCAGGGGGGCATGTAAAAGGTAACAGAAGCTCATATTAACCTAGGTTATCTATCAGGTGCCCTATGTATCTTATTTTACTTCATCTTCACAGCATCCCCTTCTGAGGGGAATATTAGAACACAGATTTTGTACCAATCAGTAAATGCTGATTTCACTGCTGAAGAAGAGAGGCCCAGCGAGGTTAAGCTATATGTCCAAGGTGATACAGCTAGGAAATGGCAGAGCCTGGATTTAAACCCAAGCTGATAGCTTCAAAGTTCTTACACTTAATTATCCTCCTATCTTGCGTACCAGTATATGGAAACTGTTACTAAAATACCTAAACTACTCTTGGGTTGCATTATAAGAAGTATAGTGTACATATCAAGGGAGGTGATGACCACCACACTGTGCCTTGAGCTTGTCAGGGCACATCTAGGGTACTTAGTCTGGTTCTGTTCATTGTCTAACAGGTGGGAAGGTATGTGGTGAGTCTAAGTATTCCCTGAGGAGAGTTGTCTTCAGTGTGGGGCTGAGGTAGTGGATATACATACAAGGAGGTATATTTCAGTTTAAGAGAAGGAAACACTTTCTTAAAGTCAGAGTAGCTCAACAACGGCACAGGTTGCCCGGGAGGTAGTGAGTACCCAGTAGTGGGCATATTCAAGTGGAAGAGGACTCCCTATTCGGGTAGAAGGGGCAGAGACCAGGATAATGCACATCCAGTCCCATTCAGAAATCTGTTTTGAGGGTCTTCCCAGCTCCACGGGCTCCAACTGATTGTCCCGCGAGTCTGAGGGGTGGGGAGAGAAAAGTGGGGGTACATGTGTGGGCCTGCGGAAGCCTTGTTCCTGTAGGCCCTGGCTGGGCATCTCTGAGCCACTCCTTCCCCCTCGCCCTGCTGTCCTTCCCCGCTCTGTCTCCAGCCTCCTGGAATCTGCAAGGCCACTGCCTGGAACCCCGAGGAGTGGGGGAGCAGGGGCTGTTCCCTGGGGTCCAGGTCAACAAACAGCCTTCCCCAGGACCTCACTGTCTCTTGTGCACCCTCTCCTGTTCAGGCCCTCCTCGCCTCTGCCTTTCCACAGCCCCCCAGCCTCTCTGCACCATCGCTGTCACAGAGTCAATTCCCTGGAATAATCGCATTTTCCGGTCGGCTCCCTTCTCCTTGCCAAGCACAATGCTGGGAAATCCCAACCAGCCAGGCCCCAGGAGGCTTCTCCAGAGAGACAGGGGACTTGGGGGAGGGCCTAGCACCCTCTCCTTGCCTGCACCCAAACACCACTGTTCCTGGAAGGGGTAGGGTACTGGGTGGGAGAGAACAAAAACAGGGAGGCTTAGGGACGGTGTCGATAGATTTAGCGAGAGCTGGATTCTGGCCTCTGCTGGCCAGACCAGTCCAGTCCCTCAAGCTCTGCTCTCACTGAGCACCCCGGCCATCCTTACCCAGTTCCTGGAGAGAAAACTTTCTCCCTTGGGGAGGCTCAGAGAAAAGGCTCCCAGGGAGGAATTGGCCCGTGATGTGGCCTACAGTATCACTAGCCAAATCTGGGGATTCCCACAGAAGGGGTTCAGTAAAAAGGAGGACCTGAAGCGAAAACTGGCATCGGGAGTTGGACAGACCTTGCTTCCACCTGGATCTGCCACTTGGGGTTGTCACATAGCATCTCTGAGCGTTATCTGTACCGTGGGAACACCTCCACGGGAAGCTTTAAGGGTGAAATGTAGGAGCAATTCATCGTGTACAGTGACTTTTATTATAAATAAAAGTTTGACCTGGATGGCTTTATTCACAGATGCCCTAAAATGATTCACAAAATTTAGGGAGAATGTGCATTTTTCTGAGGAGGAGATAGGTCAAAGTTATCACATTTTAAAAGGGATTTGTTACCCTTTGTTACCAAGGTTAAAAACTACTGGTGTTTATATAGCATGATTCAATTTTTGTTTTTAAAAAAAGTTACGAAAAATTATACTGGAAAAAAGACTGCATGGTCATATATCCAAATATTAATAGTATTTTTCTCTGGAAGGTAGGATGACAGGTGGTTATTTTTTCTTTTTGCTGAACTGTCTTTTCTACAAAATATAGTCTGTATGACTTGCATGATTAAAAAGGTTTTGATTTCCTATTAAGTCACTTTCAAAAAGGATAGCTTGGATACATTTGCTCAATTTCTCTCAGCCTCAAAGAAATTGTTCTTCTGTGGGAACAATAACTTCAAAAGCTAATTGTTAGAATAAGATGCGACAATTTATGCAAAGAAGGGTTCTGAGGATGTCAGCAGTACATTCAACACATTTATTTACTGCTTGTCTACTAAGTGCTGGGGCTGTTCTGGCTGCTGAGGATAAAGAGAGAGGGCCTCAGGAGTTATATTTTTAAAAATGTCTTTTAGCCTGGCCGGTGTGGTTTAGTGGATTGAGTGTTGTCCCATGGACTGAGAGGTCCTCGCGCCACCAGGGTTGTGGGCTCGATCCCCCGTGGGGGGCGTGCAGGAAGCAGTTGATCAATGTTTCTCACATCGATGTTTCTCTTTTGCCCTTCCTCTCGCTCTAAAAAAAATCAATAAAAACATATTTAAATGTATATATATATATATATATATATATATATCTTTTATAAGTGTGCCATTTAGAAGCAATCTTGTTTTTAATTTTGTTACTGGGACCCTAATATTTGAGTTTGCCTGCGCACACTGACCCAAAAGAAATGCTGGAGCAGGAGTTCATAGCATAGAAAGAAAAAGTTGAATAGTGAAATGGCCAATCCTCTAACGATGGAACTCCCCAATGGCATCTAGGTTTCAGATGATATAGGGCAAAAATCACAAATCGGGAAGGTGGGGTTTAGGTGGTTCCAGATTGTGCTGGAAGCTGGTTGGTGGGAAGTGAGATAAGGGTAATAAATCATTTCTTCAGATCTTGAGGACAGCTTTGTGTCTGCCTCGGCATCCCTCAGTCTGGTTTCACAGAAAAGTAGCCTGGGGTTCAGGAGCTGAAACATAATTTAGGTCAAGATGTTATCTTACGCCTGCCAGAGGGCCAGACCATTAGTCAGGTCCTGGCTATTGTCTTCGGCTGCCTCGGGGTTGAAGGGAGAGGCTAGATCTATGAGTGCTGTAGAGAGATTTCTAGAGCTAGGATCCAAAGCTAAATTTAATCAAAGTCATAAGGACACCCTCTGTTTCAATTTCAGTGTCTTTCCTTCCAGCCTTAACCCTTTGTTTAAGCAAATAGTTTAGATGTTCTGCATGCACAACTCTGATTGCCCATTTGCTCCTTAATGTCCTAAGCATTTTTGATGCCTTTAAAAGTCTGGTATTTTGCCCCACCCCTATGGCTCAGTGGTTGAGCAAAGACCCACGCACCAGGAGGTCTCTGGTTCGATTCCCAGTTAAGGCACATGCCGAAGTTGGGGGTCAAATCCCCAGTGGGGCATGCAGGAGGCAGGCAACGATGTTCTCGCTCATGGATGTTTCTATCTCTCCCTTTCCCGTCCTCTCTCTCTAAAACCAATAAAGAAAAAAAAAGTGCATTGTTTTGATGGTGCATACTTTAAAGACTAGCTGGAGGAGGGTCCTGGCGGTGGGGACTGACCCGTCGTGGCCCGCCTGACGGTGGCCGGTGTCTCCCCTCCCTGGCCACAGACAGCGAGCTGGTGCTGCCAGACTGCCTGCGGCCGCGCTCCTTCACCGCCCTGCGGAGGCCGTCGCTGCGGCGCGAGGCGGACGACGCGCGCCTCTCCGTGAGCCTGTGCGACCTCAACGTGCCCGCGGGGGAAGGCGACGAGGTCACGCCGGCCGCCGGCTGCCCCATCCCGCAGAACTCGCTCAACTCGCAGCACAGCCGCGCGCTCCCCGCGCAGCTCGACGGCGACCTGCGCTTCCACCCGCTGCGCGCCGGCGCGCACGTCCGGATTCTGGACGAGCAGACGGTGGCGCGCCTGGAGCACGGGCGCGACGACCGCGCCCTCGTCTTCACCAGCCGGCCCGTGCGCGTGGCCGAGACCATCTTCGTGAAGGTCACGCGCGCCAGCGGCGCGCGGCCCGGCGCGCTCTCCTTCGGGGTCACCACGTGCGACCCGGGCACGCTGAGGCCGGCCGACCTGCCCTTCAGCACCGAGGCCCTGGTGGACCGCAAGGAGTTCTGGGCCGTGTGCCGCGTGCCGGGGCCCCTGCACAGTGGCGACATTCTGGGCCTGGTGGTCAACACCGACGGCGAGCTGCACCTGAGCCACAACGGCGCCGCTGCGGGCATGCAGCTGTGCGTGGACGCCTCGCAGCCGCTCTGGATGCTCTTCGGTCTGCATGGAGCCATCACGCAGATCCGCCTCCTCGGTGAGTGCCCCGACCCGTGCCAGCCCCTCCCCAGCACCCCAGGCGGCCCAGCTGCCCTCTACACCCAGCGTCCAGTCTCCCGGAAGAGGGGGCTGATCTGGGTAGGGGAAAAGAGGGTCCGCCCCATTATGATTGTCAAGGAGCCACAGACACTGAAATGAGTTTTGGGCGGGACTCTACGGCCCTCAAATCTCACCAGACCCACCGTGGGGAGGGGAGAAAAGCGTGGATTGTTCTCAAATCCGATTAACCCATATTCCCACAGATACACGATAAACAGTCCAGGTACACACATTCCAGTGGACACTTAAAATAAAAAAATTTTGTTTCCATCAGCACTTAACTTTTTGGAGTTCAGTTTCCATCTCTCCCAAATGGGAATAAAGACCTCTGTCTCTTAATGTGGTTGTGTGCCCAAATAAGAAAAAGAGGTTGGCCCTGGCCGGTTTGGCTCAGCGGTTAGAGTGTAGGCCTGTGGTCCAGAGAGATCTGGGTTTGGTTCCCACTAAGGGCACGTACCTCGGTTGCAGTTTGTCCCTGGCCCTGGTTGGGTCGAGCGGGTGGCAACCACTCGATGTGTCCCTTTCACATCGATGTTTCTCTCTCTCTCTCTTCCTCGCTCTCCCTCCTGCTCTATCTGAACAAAAAAATGGAAAAAATGTCCTCAGGTGAGGATTAAGAAAAAAAAGAAAAGAAAAAGAGGTAGAGGTTGGTATGTCAGGAGCCAGGAGCCAGGTGTCTGTGCAAGGTGGTGCCTGGGTTGGAGGCCTGTGGGGAATCCCTGAGCAGAGGGCCTTGGAGGAAATGGGGTTGCAGATGTCTAAGCTTTACTTTCTGGGTTTGAATGGACAGATTTGGACATGGCCTTGGGTCAGCCATGTTTCCCAGAGTGTTCTGTGGGTTAGGTTCTGTGGGTTAGATGTCCATCCAGAAAGGATCCTTGGATCACGAAAGCTTAGGAAGTACAGAGTTTTTAAAAAGTAGGGGATTCCTTCCTCCCTCCCTCCCTTCCTTCCTCCCTCCCTCCCTCCCTCCCTCTCCCCCTTCCTTCCTTTTCTTCCTTTCTCCTCACCCAAGGATATATTTTTACTGAGTTTTAGGGAGAGAGAGTGAGAGCGAGAGAGAGAGAAACATCATTGTGAGAGAGAAACATTGATCAGTTTGCCTCATTTAAGTGTGCTCTGACTAGGGAACAAACCCACAGCCTAGGTATGTGCCCTGACTGGGACTCGAACCTGCCACCTTTTGGTGTATAGAATGACAACGAGCCCCTCAGCCAGAGCTTAAAAAGTGGGAGATTCTTTACTGCAGAACTTCTCCGAGCCTTTGCTATGCAGTGTGAGTTTTTAAGGAGGGAGTGGTTATGCTTATGGTGTACAGATTTTCCAAAATGATTTAACCAGAAATCTTGTTTTCACAAAGCATCTCCTGGGACCTCTTATCCTAGAGTGAGCAGGTATTCATTCATGCTTTTGGAGTGCTGGTCCGCCAACACCTGCAGTAGACTGGGCTAGTTTCATTAGACTCACTGTGAGAACTCACTCAAGTGCAGGTCCTTGAGTACCTCCAGAGACTATACTGTACATCTTGGATAGGTCCTAGGCATTTGATTTTTTTAAAGCAAGTTTACATAGACAAATTTAGAGACCCCTGGGCCTTATAACCCCCAGCCTACATTTCACCCCAGGAGACTTCATGGACAAGATAATGTATGTATGTGAGTGAGCATGAGTTCCACTAAGATTGGCATACCGCATGTAAGCACATGTGAGTAACTAAATGCATGCATGTATTTGTGGATACAATGCTGTTGGTGATTGTGGGAATGTGCCAGAAATCAGTTAAAATCAGTGAGAACTTCCTACTCTATTCCAGAGATCAAGTGAAGATAGAGTTAAAAATAAATTTTAAAAAGAATGAAAAGAAATGAGGCTGGGATGCTAAGAAGTTAGGATTGAGGGAAGGTAAATCAGGAAGGAATGAAAAGAAATCAAGCTAGATGAAAAGACATCAGGAAGGAAAGAAGTTGGGGATGAAAAGTCAGGATGGAATAAAAAGAAATTGGATTTGCCCGGCCGGTGTGGCTCAGTGGTTGAGTGTTGACCCATGTACCAAGAGGTGGCCGGTTCGATTCCCGGTCAGGGCACATGCCCAGGCTGTGGGCCCAGTTCCCAGTGTGGGGCATGCAGGAGGCAGCCAGTCGATGTTTTCTCTCATTGATGTTTCCATCTCTCTCTCCCTCTACCTTCTTCTCTCTCTCTCAAATCAATAAAAAAAAAAAAAAAAGAAAAATGGTTTGGGTGCAGAAAAAAATCAGGATGAAGTGAAAAGATATTTGACTACACTCACCAGGAGACACTGCTCCTCGGATGAAATAGATTCTATCAGGGCAAGGCACCCTCTTGCCTCAGCACCATCTAATAATAGCTAAGTGGCTTTCCAGTGAGGCTTCTGTTGCCCAAGAGGCTTACTAGACTGGGGCAGAGAAGATGCTTAGAAACAAAGCAGGGCTTAAATGTCCCAAGAGGTCAGCAGGCCAAGATGGGTGTTGAATAATCATTCAGAATTCAATATAGGGTGTCCAGAAATGTACACATAACGTTGAATAATTATAAAGCCAGTGTTTATTAAAATACATTTCATTTTCAAAGTGTAATAGAATCTACAGACACCTTATACACATTTTTTAGGGACACTCTATATATACTAAATAGAGTGCTCCTGAGCTGTCTGGAGAATTGGGTGTCCAACCAGCAAATTGGTGTTAGAGGATCCTGACTGAGTCCAAAAGAAAAATAAATCAGTGACAATGTATGAAGGGCAACTCTTTACCGGACAGGGGAATGCTTTGCTCCGTGGAAGGCCGAGGTAAGACTGGGAGGCTATTCCTTCACTCCAGAACAATAGCCAATTCCATACTTAAAGGTGAAACACTAGAAATATTCTCATCAGGGTCAGAAATATGGCAGGGGTGCCTTTCAGTATTGTTCTGAAAATGCTAGCCAGTGCAATAGGCAAGACAAACAAATAGGAGGTATGAATTTCTGAGGAAGGAGATCATAATTAACTTAAAAACTATTAACACTAATAAGAGAAACCCTGTGGATAGCTAATGAATGAATATTTCTAGAAACAGTGACTACTAAATGGATTAGAGCAAAGACTAATAGTAGAAAAGGTCTCATTGAGTACTTAACTTGTGTGTAGAGCGTTACACTATGTACAGGTCTGGGGAGAGTCACGGATGAGTACGATTTCCTGCTCAGGACGGTCATGGTTTAACTGGGGAAACAAAGCTGCATTTCTAGGTAAAGGACAGATAATAGCCCAGAATCTGTGGTTGTTTAGTCCTTTGCATGCAGTGTGTATGGTTGGTTGGTCAGTGGTAAAGAGTAATGTGGTTGGGGTGGGGGTATCAAGGCTGCCCGGAAGGGGGTTTTGAGGACAGCCACAAGAGGCCCCTGGATTGTTCCTTAGCTCTCTGGGGGCCAGAGCTCTGTGTGCCTTGTTTTCAATCACACACACACACACACACACACACACACACAGTGTATCGTACCTGGGGGCCAGAGCTCTGTGTGCCTTGTTTTCAATCACACACACACACACACACACACACACACACACACACACACACACACTGTATGGTACCTGTAGGCCCTCAGAAAGGGCTTGTTGGAGGAAGGAGGGAGGAAAGGGGAAGGTAAGGAGAAGAGGGAGAGGTGTGAGGGGAAGAAGGAGGTAAAGAAAGTAGGACAGAGAAGTGTGGGAGATGGTGAAGGGCATTTCAAAGGTGCCAGTGCAGAGGAGAAAGTGGGTGATATCTGGGGACAGTGATGGAGGGCACAGGGCAGGTGAGGCCAGGGCTGGAGGGGCCGTTCAGGGCTGGAGAAAGGTGAGTTTGTCCTCTGGCTGGGGAACCCTTGCAGGTGAAGGATACATGGGGAAGAGCGGATGTGGGCTCCTAAGCAGGGGCTGGTTTGGAGACTGCTGATGGAGCAGCACCAGAGCACGGTGGCTCTCCAGTTTGTAGGCGGGCACAGAGAGCTGGGGCAGGATGCTGAGCAGCCTGAGGGATCCTGCCCTGAGCCCGGTGGCTGGGCTGTGTGGTCAGACTGTGGCACCCACTTTATCTCCTGGGACCCTGCAGGAGAGGCGGAGACTCGAGCTTTCTCCCAGTGAGCCTTTGATGGTCAGTGCGCCCCTCCCTCCCTCTGCAGGCTCCACCATCCTGGCAGAGCGGGGTGTCCCGTCTCTCCCCTGCTCTCCTGCCTCCACGCCAGCCTCGCCCAGTGCCCTGGGCAGCCGCCTCTCTGACCCCTCGCTCAGCACCTGCAGCTCTGGACCTCTGGGGAGCTCTGCTGGCGGTAAGTGGGCTGGCCCCTCCGGGTGGATGGGTCTGTGCCAGACCCTACCCGACGCCCTGGCTGAGGAAGGCACGCAGCTCCTGTATCCAGGCTGGGGCCCAGGAGGAGCTGCAGCGGGCCCGCTGAACCCTGTTGGGTGGTGATTTCTGGGATGTATCTCATTCTGTCTTCTAGCTGGGTACCTTTCTCCAAAGGACTTTTTTAATACACAGGGAACACCAAAGGATAGCTCAGGCAGAGCCCACATTTAAAGGGTTTGGCCCTCTTCCTTCCCCCATCCCTCCTCCTCCTCCATCGCTGCTGCATGGACGCCCTTGCTCCTGGGAGCTGAGGGGCCAGCAGTGGGACTTCCCGGAGTGTGCCCTCTCTCCTCGTGTCCAGGAAGGCAGGTCATCTGAGTGAACAGGCAGATCTGATAAATGGGGGGGAGGGGGGCAAGAGGCCAGGGGCCTCTCTTCCCATGAACCTGGGACTGAGTTGGACTAAGTCTCCCCTTGACTGGTGTCCCCTCACCCCCAGGGACAGCTCCCAACTCACCGGTGAGCCTGCCCGAGTCACCAGTGACCCCAGGCACGAGCCAGTGGAGTGACGAGTGCACCATTTGCTATGAGCACGCAGTGGACACGGTCATCTACACATGTGGCCATATGTGCCTCTGCTATGCCTGCGGTCTGCGCCTCAAGAAGTCTCTGCACGCCTGCTGCCCCATCTGCCGCCGCCCCATCAAGGACATCATCAAGACCTACCGGAGCTCCTAGCCCCATGCGGTGCCCTAGCCCTCATGCCCACCTCCTTGGACTTCTGCCCAGCTCCAGCCGAGGGGCAAGCCAACGGGCCCCTTCTCTTCATCCTCATTTTGGAAATTCTTTACCCTTCTCCATTAAACATGGGAAACTGCGGCCCCTGAAGGTTTGGGGAGAACAGGGGTATCATGCAGGGTGGTCCGGGGGCAGAAGCAATCGCCTGGCAGGGGGAGGGAGAGGCTACACTCTGTCTGCCCTTCTCTGCGCCGAGCCCTTCCTTTCATGCCGAGGGACCAGATCGGGGTCTCAGCCTGTCCTCATCCTTCCCCATCTGGGACCGACTTCTAGGAGGTCCCTCCAGCCCATGTGGCACCTTTGTGAGAACTGGAAAGCGTGCCCCTTCTTCTGGGCAGATGTGGCCCTGCGCCAGGGCATGCGGCTTGGCTGGTGGAGTGTGGACTGAACATCAGCCTCCACTTGCTCCCTCAGCCGACTGCCCTTGAGCAGGGCACAGCCTGCTTGCCAGCAGCCCTGGGCAGGGAGCCCCTGAGCTGCTGCCTTACTCTGCCCTGTACCCACCTTCTTCCTCTCTCCCCTGCCCCTTGGGCCTGGCAGGCAGGGGAAAGACGACCAGTGGATACCTCTCACCCAGACAGGCTGCAGCCTTCATGCCATGCCCCCCTCTCCCCCAGGATGGGTGGACTTACAGGCTGCAGAAGGCGGCAGGTTCTGAGTCCCTGGCCCCTCGCCCTGGCAGAGATGCGCAGGATCCTCCTTGGTCATAGCCTTTCTGCCCCCATCATCTCGCCCCTTGGTGTGGCTGGAGAGCAGGGTCTGCCTTCTGTCAGGGTCTCTAGGAACAGGTTTGTGTCTACTGTCTGTGACCTGTCCTACATCTCAGTGCTGTCCTGGGCCTGGCTGATGCTCCGAGATGCTGTAACGTCCCTAGGCGAGGCCGAGGCCAAGGCCCTGGGTCGGGGGCAGGGAGGTTTCCTGGAATAAGACCAGCCCTTTTCTTTATTTTAATTAATTTATTTATTTGGTTTGTGGGTTTCTTTTTTTTTTTTTTTTTTTATGGGGGGAGGTGAGTTCCCAACCCACAGGCCCCTGGAAATGCTGCCCTGGTGTGTGCAGATTGAGGGGGGCAGCATTTCCCAGACTCTAGCCCCAAAGTCCATAGTTAGCTGTGCTTACCATAAGTCAGAACTCCTTGCAAAAGGTCTGAATTGGGAGGCCTCCTGGCAAATTGTGTCCGTTTTACACAGGCAAATTGAGCCTCCTTGATCCCCTGGGACTGGTGGTCACCCAGAGCCACAAAGTGCCCTTCCTCCTTGGGCTGGAGCAGGGTTTCTGAGTTGGCTCAAATACGTCAAGAGGCCCAAGAGTGCCCCCCCACAAAGGACATAAAAAGTCTGGGAAGGCTGAAGGAGAGCCTCGCTGGCCAGGGGAGAAGGCTGGGAGCCTAGTGACGGTAGAGGCAGGAGCCTGTTCTTAGGAAAGGCACTTCGCCCCCAGGAAAGATGAGGGGTAGGGACTGGGTCCCAGCATCTCTGGTTCCTATTCCCGGTTTTGGGGTGAGGGAGTGCCCCCCCACGTGCTCTTAGGCTACAGTCATCTCTGCCCTGGCGCCAACCTGATAGGCCACGGGCTGGGGCCAGCTCTCAAGAGTCTTGGCCTAGTGTACCCCCAACTTCCCAGCCCTCTGCCCCTCAGAGACTGCTCCTCCCTGTCGCTGGCAGAGCATGGGACTCTGGACCTGGCAACTGACCAGTTGTGTGGCCTGGCCAGGTTGGAGCCCCTCTGTGCCTCAGCTCCCATGTCTGTAAAATGTGTGACTTAGTTCTTTGGTGAGAGGCTGCTATGGGGTGCCGTGGTGGGACAGCACTAGGGATCAGGACGCCAGGATGGGCTCGTGTCTGTCCCTGCCTTACAGTGGGCCTTTGAGAAGTCATAATTCTGCTAGGGGTCTCCCTAGTCTCTGACCCCCGTGACCTCTTCTGTGGGGGTGGGGTAGGGGAGGTGGTGGCCCCATCCAGCCAAGGGTTCCATTTCAGAGGCAAGGGTAGGTCTTAAGTGCAGGGGCTGCTGCCTGAGGGGGAGAGGAAGCCATCTGTCCCATTGTCTCTGTTAGTGTGGGGGTCATTGCTGCCTCCTTTGTGAACTTGGGTCGCTGTGATTGTGAATAAAGGTGATTTGTACCAGCCTAAGGCTGTGCTGTGCAGCATGGAGGGCTGGGGAGGGAGGGCCAATGTGTGTGGGGTGTGCGCGCCAGTGTGTGTGAGTAGGGGTGGGGGAGTTGACACTGGAGGGCCAGGTGTCCTGGGTATAGAGGGGAGTCAACAATCAGAGTGCGGTGCTGGAGCACGGCCTAAGGTTTGGATGGCCAGGGCCAGAATGCCAGGCGAGCCTTGTAAGTTGAAAGGGAGAAGCCACTGCCCTTTGGCAGCCTCAGGTCCCTGGGTCTGAGGAGCAGTGTTTGTTGGTGCTAGAGCAGTGGGAGTCCATGAGGCCTGCTCAGCTTTCTCTTGGCTGAGGGGAGCCCCAACCAGGCCCGGAACCCTTGTGGTGTGGCAGCGCCACCTAGGGGCTAATGAAAGGATCGCAGGTCCTCAGGTCAGCAGACTGGAGTTTCTGAGGAACTCCACAGGGCCTCCCCATCCCTCGACGGTCCCTCAGCATTGGTGGGTGCTGAGGCCTATACCAAATGGGTGGCACAACTGGGCAGAAAAAGGATGCTTCTGGGAAGAGACCTGGAGAAACTTTCTAGGTGAGTGCATGTGGCTGGCTGCAAAGGCTGGTGGTGGCAGAAGGGGTCTAGACACAATGAGGACACTCTGGATGCCCAGCCTCTGCCTGGCCTCGAACAGCCGTGGCTGCTCCCTACATCAGGGCCACCCAGCTGTTACTAGAGTCCAGCAGAAGTAGGGAGGTCTAGGTGCTCTAAGCTGAGGGACCAGCTAGGCCTGATAGATGTGGGTCTTTGGCCCCCAAGATCTGCATCTCTTCCAAAGCTCTGGCTGCCAAGAAAGCTTCCCCACGGCAGAGGTGGTGAAGGGGGAGGAGCTTGAGCAGGATTCTCACCAACAGTGGTGGGAACTTACCCCCTCCTCCCCCTCCCCAGTGTCCTCGAAGGCTCAGATCCTGCAGCTCACTCTACACTGGGATAATTCTGCCATTCAGTTGGATGGATTTACTGGCATCAGGGAGAATTAAGAGGTGATTCTGTTCAGTTAAAAAGGCCAAAAACTTTATTTAATTTTCAGGAAAATACAAGAAGATGCATGTAAACATAAACAAAAATACAAAATAAAACAACCCAAATCTTACAGTCTAGAAGCATGCCAAGTCAGAGTATTTCTGCAGACCAAAGAGTCCCGTCAAAAATGATAGACACCTGGAAAGGTGAAGGCCAAGGGGCTGGGTCCCTTCCCCCAGGACACTGCATTTTGCATTTTTGTGATGAGAACAATTAAAAAACAAACCCACTATTAAAAATATTAGAAACATGGAGATAATTTAGCACCAGCATTGATCCTGGAAATTTTTTAGCACTCAAACACATCCAATTCAATGATTTTTCTTCAGTTTCTCTGCTGGGGAGGAAAGAGGGAACAGCCTCCTCCCAACCCCCACAGAGCCCGCTAGGAACTGGAAGGGGTTAAGTGGACACCGTGAGGAATTCCCCAAAGTTCTGGAGCAGCTGACATGCAACCATGCAGTCTGCAAAGCCACACTTCAGGGCCCTGCCACTCACATGTGCATCACTCAGTCACCTTCCTGCAGACCTCAGTGACTAGCAGTGAAACCCTTTCCCATCCTGTGTCCTGCATTGAAAGAAAACCTGTTGCAGAGAACAACATGCAGATTCAAGAACGGTGGCTGTTTACCATTCTTCCTCTGAAACGCTTTAGACAGTGTGCCTTGTCATAGGCCACTGAAAACGAAAGGGCATATCCATGGATGAGTGTGCATTGTACCCCGTCTTCTAAGTCATACCAGTGAGGCAGGGTCAGCAAACTGAATAACCACAGGTATGTATCATCAGAGATACTAGAGAATAACGGGGGAACGGGGGGTGGACAGAACAAATGAAGTTCCCTTCCTCCCAGATAAGCTTGATGGTATCTGGACCCTGAGGTTCCAATTTGGGGGTGGGTGGGTCTCTAACTACATGACCCATTTGTTTACTAGCATCTGATTCAAGCAATTTGAGAGGTTAGCTGTGGACTGGACAAAAGGCGGTGGGCAAAACCAGCTGGGAACCCAGGAGGATGAATTTTCTGGAGCCAGGGCCTCCAAACTCAAATACAATTTGTCGCTGGTGACTTCCCTCTCCACTGAGTAAATCAATGAACATTCATTAAAAGCCTGCTGGGGACTCAGCTTCTTCAGTGGCCTCATCTTGGGACTTTTCCAACCTGATCTGGCTGGACCCTTGGGTGTTGAATCACTAAATTCCCTTCTTACCTGCTCTCTTCTTCCTGAAACACTCAGAATGGACTTCTCTCTTCTTTCTAATAAAGACAAAACTCCAGACTCCAAACGCTCTCTCAGCATTCTCACACTTTTCCCTTTCTGTGTAGAAGACATCCTCTTCTGGGAAGGGACGTGAGTCCCAGACACCCTAAACATGTCACACATGCACATACTCATCTTGCTGACATGCCTCTTGCTCATCTCCAACATGCTCGATCCATCCTTTTGCTTTAAAACAATTCTTCCACTCTCTCTTGCCTCCTGAAGTCCAGCCCCACTAGCCAGGATGAGGGTGGGGGTGCAAAGGAGGGACCTTTAGCGCAGGGACTCATTCTCTAAGGCCGCTAAGTTCTAGGACTGGGACGGGAGAGGGGGCTGATTGTCAAGGTCAAGTGCAAACTCAAGAATAGAAAGATAAGATCAGGGCAGGGGATCGCACGGTAATTTCAACCTCATTGGCAGGTTGGGCCATGGAAAGTGGAACCCTCTGCTCAGTCTGTAAGCACCAATATATCCAACTTCTTGCCTAGGGACCCAGATGCACAGGACAAAACAGGAGGGAAGCTAAGGTCAGTGGGGCTGTTTCTCCTGAAATGAGGCAATAGGTCAGTCACCCCATCCTTCTCTGATCATGGAGCATGAGAAGCAGAGAGCTGCCCCAAACAGGGGTCATGATTTAGGCAAAAGTCTTAGTAAGGTCAAGGGAGAATCCTCCACTCTATTCCCATGAAGTGTCAGACGGGTCCGAAGTCTAGAGCAAGGTGCTGATGTACATGCATGCAGGTCTGCTGAGCTTGCCTCGCACAAGTTCCCACCACGTGCAAGTTCTCACCCTGACTCGCCTGACCACCCTCAGGAACGAGCTGAGGGCCAGCGGCGCCTTTATTATATGGGGATTCCCACAGCGATGACACGCATGGCAATGGGTGGGAGTCGGCCTGCACATAGCACACCTGCAGGTGGTGACCCAGTGAACCACCTCAGCCTTGCACACCCAGCGGCACCTCTTTTCCACATCTTTATTTGGGAGCCTGGGATGATGGCCTAGGCTGCTTCTGCTAGATCTGTTAATGCCAGTGTGAAGTTTCCAACTAAATACTTAATAAAATAATTACAAAAAAATTAAAAAGACACATTGCACTCTCCAGCCAGAATTTCATGTGTGAATAACACACACGCTGCCAGAAGCTGTGAGTCCCGTGGGGCCTGCCCAATGCCAAGGACTGTACAATGGAGACAGCTTGCCCAGTATTTTTCTTCTCTAACCCCATTTTATTCAGTTCAAGTGGGAAATTCACACACACACACACACACACACACACACACTCAAACACACTCTCAACAACACACAGCCCTCAAAAAAGTGAGGGAATTTTAATTTAGCTACGTGGATGGTTCTCTTCCAGAGAGCTCTGCGTCAAGATTCTCAGATCGACATAGATGTATACACTCCAAGCACAGACACCCACACGTGGGGGCACAGTCCCACTCGGCACATAGATCCGTATTTGTACAGACATGCGCCAAACAGAGGGGTTGGAGCAGCAGGCATACAGTACTGGAAGTCGAGGGGACAAGCCAG